TTATTTAATTTTGAGATAGGGTTAGCTTGCAAATTATCATTGTAAATGCTAAACCTAAACCAAACAGAACTGCAGTGATATAACTTGCCCTCCTCTTCTTCCACTACAGTACAAACTGACTCACTGATGAATATTTGTCAGTCTGTTGAGGGGAAATAGTCATGTACAGAATTTAGGTCGTTTTTGAAGTACGTCCAATCAGAGGGCACTTCAGACATGCTCAGAGTACCGCTAGAGGTAGTTTTTTAAGTGCCTTGTTTAATTTTCAGCAGTGTATGATTCAAAAGTCAAAAAAGTTCAGAACTCTTAAAATCATAAACAAACTCATTACTTGCAAGATAGCATAGAGATAGCACACTGAGCTTACAATATATTATACAACAAAGGTTGTGAATTTAATTTCCTCATGAGGAGGACTATTTTTCTGTTCAATCTGTTCTCATCAGAGTCAGGATTTATGATTTCAATCCCCGCATTGTGATTTTTTTCCTGTTCATTATGTTATAACAAGTTTAAATTTATACTACCTTAATATTTTTTAGTGAATGCCCTAATTCAAACTACATTAAAGGATCAGGAACACAAACATGTATGCCTGACGCTATGGGGTTAAAACCACCATCTATCCTCCCTGGACCCCTCATGCCTCCCTAAATATAGTAAATTCGTACTTGTATTCAAGTCTGGAGCTGCTGGCTTTGCCCCCCTTTCCTTTTGACCTGCCCACTGCCTGCTGACATCAGCAGAAGTGGTAGCCTGATCCAATCACAATGCTTTCCCATAGGATTTGCTGAGACTGACAAAGAGGCAGATCAGGGGCAGAGCCAGCACAATTCAAACACAGCCCTGGCCAATCAGCATCTCCTCATAGAGATGAATTGAATCAATAATCTATGAGGAAAGTTCAGTGTCTGCATGCAGAGGGTGGAGACACTGAATGTTTGGATGCATTTTGGGCAGCCATGACCCAGGAAGGATCTCTAACAGCCATCTGAGGAGTGGCCAGTGAAGTTATCACTAGGCTGTAATGTAAACACTGCATTTTCTCTGAAAAACGGTCCGCTGCAGCCTGTGCCCATTTCCAATCTTCCTCTCCAGCCCCTCGCAGCAGGAGCTGCTCTCCTACCTCCCGGGCCAGCTGGCCCACGGCTACACAGACTGATGCTGCTCCTGTGCAGTTTAGATCTCCTATCGGGGCCGCCAATGGTTTTCTGTCTGCCCGATCCTCTCGTGTGGACCCGCCACATATGTCCTGCGGCCAAGGAGGGTGGAATGGTGGACAGGCCTCCAGGCAGGTGATTAGGTCTCAGGGTGTTTCCCGGGCAGCAGAGGTTTCCCTTCCTGAGGTGGGGGTTATGGCTGGGAGACGTGTAAGGCAGCCATCTCCTCCTTCCCGTAGTAGCCCTTCTTTCTCTGGGTGTTTCACCTGGGCCTACCGGGCACCGGTTGCCTTGCCCGTCCCACTGGGGTGGGCCTACAATTCCTGGTTTGGGGCGGGAGGGATATGTCCAATACCGAGCTCCATCTCTTTACTGATGCATGTCAGGAGGCCTGAGTCTTGGCGTGCTGCGGGGTCAACAAAGAATTTGGCTTTCTTGAAAAATTTCCCTATAGTGGTGGCGGTGGAGCTCTGGGGCGGACAAAGTGGATTATCTATGCCCGATGGATCTCTGGGGACTTGGGCTGACCGAATAATGTTCTGGATTTGGGGTTCGGTCTCGGAATCTATCTGGAAGAGTCATGGTAAGGCATGGGGTGAATGGGTGGAATTTGAGAGGCAGCTGGGAGGCTTCTAGTCGGATGGAGAGTGTTTGCAATGTCTGTTACAGTTAATCTGGTTCTGGGAGGCGTTGGGCTGTTCTTCCTTGGCGGTTTCGGGTAAATTGTCCGGGCTCAGTTTTTAGTTCAAACTCACCAGGTGCACGGATATCACAAAGGATGTTTTAGTCTTATTGGTTATGAGGGGTGGTGAAAATGGCCCAGTATTTCATATTCTCGGAGGCCGGTTTTGGGAGCTCTCATGGTGGGCCTGTTTGGTGCTCTGCCACAGGTTTGTTTTTTCCCGTTCGAGGTGGTGCTGTTTCGGGTAGCATTCGCTTTCAACTTTTTCTGTGCCATGTGGTTGGAGGAGCTCATTAGCCCATCCAAGGGGGCCCGGGGAAATTGTTGGTTGGGGATGTCTTCAGTGAGGTTGGGGCGGTGCGTTTTTTGCTTTGTAAGTTTCAAGACAGTTGTTCTTGCCCGGGCACTTGGGTCATGTTAGAGCAAGTCCCGGGTTCGATGCTTTGTCCAATGGCTTGATTTCATGCTTTCGGTGAACTTCACCTGGCGGGCACGGGTCCTTTTCTGGTTCACGGGGATGCCAGCTTCTTATCTCAATTCCAATTTGTCAGGGTTTTCCGCATGGCATTGGGGCTCCCTAGTGCAGAGTTTGGGGGGCACTCCTTTCATATAAGGGGGCATCACACCTGGGGTTGTCTGAAGACGTTATACAATGGATCAGGAGGTGGGAATCTAGGAGGTTCCGTTCTTTTGTTCGTCCAGCTGGACTGCTTCTGTTTCCCCTTTTGTCTCCGTAGGTGCTGGAAGCTGAGTGTGGGTCATCGGCCATTCATACATTTATTGGGCACAACAGTGGGCTGAAGTTCGTCCTGGGGGACTACAACTTGG